TTCTAAAAAAATTATCAAGCAGCAGCGGTCGCCATAGCAACGCATGTAATGACGACGCATGCGCACTGTTTACTATTTCTCTTGAACACAGTTAAAAAGTGTGATGATGACCAAATAAGGTGCGCACGCCATCAAACCCAAAAAGGGACCCATTTTGCCAATGGGTAAGATCGTTTTATTTATTGTTAAAATTTGGTAATTTTATCATGATTTCTTAGAGCAGGGCATGAAAAAAACATTTATTCGGTTAAATTTACGGTAATGCCTATTATGACATCACGGGGAGGGGGCAGATTAAATATAAAAAAAATTCATTTCTTTTTATATTGTTTATTTGCAAGTATTTTTTCTACGATATTTTTTTTCCATCTATAATGCATGTTTTACAAAATAGGTAAAAGTGTTTGTTTGTCGTAATATTGTGGAATTGTACTGTGCATTAAAATTAAATAGCTCAAAAAATAAAAAGCTAAATCAAAATATTTATAAAACAGATAAATACCTGTTTGCCGTAACTGTAAATAAAATACTTATTGGCAAATATGTGTTCAATTAATAGAAGAACTAAAACGGCTCGATTTACTAAGGTGATATTAAAAACAAGTAGAGAACGCGCACGCATAAAAGTTAAAAATTATATATATCTGATATAACGATTTAATTAAATACTTATTCTACAACACTTCTTATCTAGAGCTACCGTCATTTATATTAAAGACAACTTTAACTCCGAACTTCTTAAAGCGTAACCTTTTTCAAGTTTGAAAAAGAAAGGGGAAAAAAAGTGCCCTCTCCTGCATTATTTAACAACCAGCGGCGTTTTCTCGAGAAATTAAATCACTTGAAAGGGAACTCTTTTAACTCGCCTTTTCACGCAAAATTACGACAAGAATATTCATCATAAAAGTTAAAATCATTTCGTATTCAAATTCTCGCCAACCCTCTATTCCCAGAATGTATTTATTTTAACTTTTAACTCTTCCCATGAGAAAAGTAACACTCGCCAAAAGACATCATTTTGGCATAGTATAACGCAAGGAACTTCATTAACAAATCGAGTGCTCCCCCTCACACAATAACAAACTCTTTTCGAAAAATTTTATTCTATTTTAAATCAAGCAGCCCGCATCTTTTCCATACTGTCTTCGAGTAATTTCGCCCGGGAAACATTCTTAAAGATAACCTCTTTCACTGTACTGTACAGCATTATCCAACTCACGTAATGGCAGATACTAAATGGAATTCCGCCATGAAGCTAATTTTCCCCAATCACTCGGAAGGAGACTTTTACTTCTTTCTAATTTTGTACGCTTTAGCCTCACCCTCTAGGAAAACCGGCGCGATTAAGTCTCCCACCCTTTACTTCTATACAGAGAATAGTACCTCCCTTGCCATACTTTCCCATAGCTTCGCAATTCCTGATTAGTGACATTCATTACACGAAGCCAACAGTTAATTAAATTCTGAAGCTCCGGAATACATTCCTTTAAGGGTTACCAGCAAATCGTGTCCATCGCCCCCTCTAATTTTCGCCAAACTAATTTCTTACCTCTTGCCCTAGTTTTTTGCTTCTTCTTTTGTCTTCCTTTTGTTTGGTGGCAAAAGTCGAAAACGGCATTTATCGTACTCTGTGGGAATTGAAACTGTTATGGTGGATAATTGAATTAAGGAATGGTCGATCCGGTTTTGCCTCCCAAAGAAGAATGAAAGTTGAATTTAACGAACGCTTTTATTTATAAAGGAAGATTTAAATAGGCCATCAGAGAATTCTGTTAAAGTTGAAAACGACGGGTAATTAATTAAAAGTAGAATTAAATACCATTCAATGGTTAAGTTAATGAGATAGATAAATGGCGGGCTGTTCAAGCTTTATCGGAAGTTTTAATTAGTTTTGAACTCGATAAATGAAGACCCATTTTTGTTTTCAACAAAAATAAGACTTATCAGCTCATCACTCGAACGAAGCCTCGAAATTTACTTACAACTTCTCCGATCTGACTGTTGTAGGATTAGATTGGCATAGCTGCCAACTATTACTCTTTACCGGAATGATTTTTCCCAAACAGTGTTGAAATTACAATTGAATTACAAGCTGCCAACTATTACTCTTTACAAGAATGATTTTCCCAAATAGTAGTGAAATTACAATTGAATTCCTCATACTTAAAAAGTTCGCCAGCAGATTTTCTGCCGTACCAATGAAGGGCGGGGAGCTGATGTTAACCTTGCTTCTTTCTCAAAATAGAAAGATGATCATTTTCAGAGACAGGTGTCATGTTCTATTTAATTTCAGATAGGCCTTTGGCTCCTAATTTCTCCAAATAACAAGGGCTAACGCCTTGGCTCCGTATTTCGCCAAGGCGTCAGTCCTTGCTGTTTAGCTTCGTCGTTGAACAGCCAACCCAATTTTGAGTTTAAGATCGAATGCTCAACTCCGTAGCCTGGTAATTTTGGATCCAACGCAAAAGACAAAAGAACTCCTGGATTAAGTGTTGGGAGAAAGTTGCCTTTGTGGAGAACTTTTTGAAGAAAGTAATCCACTTTTGCGTTACATGGAGAACAAACTACGAAAACCTCCCACGGTTGGCCCGACGACAAGGGGATTCTTCACCATGATCCGTCTACCACTCACGACGTTTTTACATCAATACTGTGGTCGGCGCGAATCCAGTGCGGTATTAATTCGTATCGACTAGCCAACACTCGGATTCGGGACCTGGTCACCTCCTTGGGAGGCGAGAGCTCTATCCCCCGAGTTACCAGTGCTCAGTCCTTGTTATTTGTAATTTCGTAAAAACGTTAATTCAACTGATTATAGCACAATTTTTTTTGTATAACTATAAACTTGTTAATGATGCAATAAACCGGGATGGATCATGGGACAGAGCGTTCGCTGATATTTCATGCACACCAACTTATTAATCACAAATAAAACCAACTTTTAAACACACATCGAATTATTGAATTGTTTGCTTGAATACGCTATTGAATATATGCAATAGAGTGCTTGTTCCTCTCCCTCAATGGGTGCACTAGAGATTAATTTGCATAGAGAGCAGGGGACGTAGAGAGATTTACACAACTGCAACAACACATAAGTTAATGCAATCGACCATTCAGTGGAATACAATTTGTGAGGATATTTTGTTTCACAATGACCCGCACTAAAACCCGATATTCTCCAGAATACTCCGTTTATGTCTCCCCAAATATTCACCAAGACGTTTAAATACTGAAACTGAAAAGACTGTTCTAATAGACACTAAGACAGATGTGATTAGGGTTGGCATTTTGCCGGCAGAAGCTGGTTTTTGCCATGCCAGTGGCAGAAACTGGTTATAACCGGTAAAAACTGGCAGAAACTTCTATATTAGTTCTAGTAATTGCTTAAGGATATTTTGTTTAAGTAAACTGAAAAATTTAACTCCATGTAACTGTAACAAACTTTTTAATTCATTGTTTGCAAATATATATTATTTTATTTACATTAAATATAAAGAGTGCAGTATATCAAATATTTATATAAAATAAAGAATAAAGTAATGTAATAATAAATATAAATACTAGATTTTAGTTTATTATATTAAACTCCGAAATTCAGTAATTATTATCATTTAACTCTTAACATAACTGAATAAAGCTATTTTCAAATAGTTTTTTTTCTTTTCAAGACATAATTTGCATGGCAACAATCCAATTATTATGACAGTAACAGTTTTAATCTTTTGTGGATGGCAATGCCTGCTAGTTCTGCTGGACTTGAGAGAATCTTCTCAAATTTCTTGTTCGTGCATAGCGAATTGAGAAATTCTTTAGGTTTAGAAACTGCATCAAAACTTGTCTTTTGTTATATATTACTGCAGAGTGCAAACAATGTAATATTTGATTTTGAAAGGTGATAATTTTGTAAATAAATTGTACTTTGTTTAACATTTAATTGTTTTTTCTATGAATTATCTATTGTATCTCAATCTCAGTACTTACTTTTATGTCATTTTCTGAATTTCTGCCAGTTTCTGCCACAAATGTGGCAGAAAAGGGTTTTTGCCATGCCGGTTTTAAACGGTTTCTACCTGTGGTTTTAACCACCTCGGCGGAAACTTGCCAAACTTGGATGAGATAGAGACTATTGACTAAAAAATATTGAATTTTAGAGGAGAATAAATGAAGTTTAAAATCATATAATCATGTACCCAGTCTGAAAAATTTTTAAAAGTTCGGGCAAATGATGTATGAAATTATCTTAAATTTTATTGACTTTGATTTCACGCCAATATTAGACATTCAGTTGGTCAGTGCAAAAGAGATATTTAATTTACAAACATTTTTGGTCGGTAGTAAATGGTTGAAACACTTTGTTTCCTCAATCTTTTTCGAGCAGTTTTTAAATTTTTGCTGGAATGCGGCCACCCTGTAATCTTCAGCATGAAATTCCGGTTTGTTTACTTTGTCATACTCAAGCTTTTTCACTTTACTTAATTTAAAAAATTACCTAAAACGCGGAAGTTTCAATATCAAAACAGATTTTTAACCAATTTATTACGCGCTTAGTTATTGAAATAAATATTGCTGCTAAATAAAATTATAAGCTTTATTTATAGTTACCTATTTCGAGCTTTTCTTAATTCAATAGTCTAAAATTTATTTTTTTAATTTTTATTTGAAACTCTGGAGTTGTAGAATATGTTATCGAAATATAGCAAGTTCTATTTCTATTCAAATTTATAAATTCAAAAATAAAATTATCCTATTATATAAGTTTATAATTAACCATAAATGAAAAGTTTTGCAGTTAATTCATATTTATGTATAGGAGTGTAATATAATTTTTGTATTGAATTGCTTTTAAAATTCCCTATGGCTAAAATATTTAAGATATTACGCAATAGTGAGCAGGAAATCAATATTAAAATCGATATTTACCTCATTATGTTGATAATTCATTTAAATGATTGAGACGAAATCTATTTATTATTAATAAACCCTTTTTTTCCTTTTAGATTGACTTCTGATCCACCTAATGACAAGATAGGAACTATATTCGATGAAAATATTACAAGTAAGTGTGTGTATGTCCTAGAATAAAATTGATAATACACAACTATTGTATAATAATATACAACTGATAACATTGCTTAGTCCTAAGCCCAGTAACAGATACCGCTATATTGATCTGCAACACCATTCAAAATCTTAATTTTATAACCAGCGTTCAACAACTGACCCGATTCTGAGTTTACGACTATCAATGTTCGACTCCGTAGCCTTGTAATTTCGAACTCAACCCAGAAGACAAGGGAACTCCTGGATCAAATTTTGGGAGAAATTTGCCTTTGGGGAGGGCTTTTTGATGAAACTTACCCGCATTTGCCTTTAATGGAGAGAAAAACCTCCCCCGGTTAGCCTGATGAATATTCGGCTCCCCTGGTTAGCCGAAAACCTCCCACGGTTCTGTGGACGGTTCACGAAAACCACCTCAACTCCTGGATCATGCTTTGGGATAATCTAGCCTTCACGGAATGCCTTTTAAGGGAGCTAACTTACATTTGGGAGCCGAAAGCATAATTCATATCGACCAGCCAACGCTGGGATTCGAACCTAGGTTACTCCATTGAGAGGTGATCGCTCTATCCACTAAGCTCATGCAAACATTCTTCAACAAAATGGGTTATTAGATATTTGAATTTACTAATCATTGTCTGCAAGACAAAAATTTTTTGATGCAAAAAAATAAATTTTTGAAAAATCTAAAATCTTTGAATGTGAATGGAAAAAAAAATTAAACTACTTTTTTTGGATTTTATATTTTATTGCATGTATTATTTCGATAATCTGACCGATTTTTTTAGTAACTATTATAATTTTTTTAATAATAGAAGAAAAATACCAAAATATATTTTTGCTTGTAGTTAGTGCGTCAGAAAAAAAAAATGATGGGTGGAATTGCCCACCTATTGGCGACTTTTTGAAATCTCGCCGAACTAGGTTTCCGGAAGATATTTTGAGGATATTATTTTGAACGTTCGATCACACCACTAAAATTCTTCAACCTTATTGGTTATTCGATATGTATACCTACGCGAAAGGTGGATTTCGTTAGAAAAGAGGTAAATGAGTTTATTTTTTCGCTAATTATGCTTCTGATCTCTTGCTGTTAGAATCATCGTTATCATTTCATTATTTTTACCGTTACTTTATTTATTACTGCCATTACTTAATTTGTAACTTTTTTTGTGTGTGGTATGTACCAGTTGAAAATAATTTATATTGTTTTTTTTTTTTTTCAATAATCAAAAGGCAGCGTTGATNTTTTTTTTTTTTTTTTTCAATAATCAAAAGACAACGTTGATCCCAGTAATAATCGCCTACTTGACGATATTTCAAAAAGTCGCAAGTTTCAAAAATTATTTTGAAATTAAAAAATTAAACATTTTTAAACTTCTTAGTTCACTCTTGGCTTATCTCAATTCAAATTTTTCAGTACTTTAAATTACTTATGAAATTGAAAAAGAATTATCCTGAATTGTTTTTCCCGTTTAAAAAAAACGTTTTAAGTTACAATTTTATTAAATATCTTTTTTCAGGTGATGTGACAGTGGCCGCACGATCCGATCTCCGTTTAGAACGGTCACTTGTGAACATGACCAAGCAGAGCGGGGAGAAAGTGAACATGCGCTGCGATGTGAAAGGACAAGGCCCTGTATACTTCAGATGGTACAAGAACGAAGCGCCAGTTGAGGAAGAAAAAGGTCGTGTAGAAATAAAGAAATATAATCCTGGCAACGGTCGTGTGGGTTCGAGATTAAGAATTTGGAATCTCGACATTCACGACACAGGATATTATAAATGTGAAGCCCATGCTGGGGCCGAGGCTTCTGTTATGGGAGATTCTGATGGGCCAAGCCATCTGCCTAGGGTGGAATCTACGGGGATTCTGNCAATCACAGTAAAATTTGTGTGCTTTCTCTCAAACTTGGACTTTTATGCTCCAGGCAGATGACGTAAGCCGAGTGCAGCGCCACTAATTTGCATATTGCAATTTTACTCAGCTACTCTTAGTGGACAACATATGCAAATTTTGCACGGTTTGGCTTACTTTTGAAAGAGTTATCGCTATTTTTGTGATTTTTCCTTAATTTATGATAACCAGTGTATTATAATTTTTTTAGTAATAGAAAAAAAACACCAAAATATATTTTTGCTTGTAATTAGTGCGTCAGAAAAAAAAAAAATGATGGGTGGATCCTAGAATTGCCCACCTATTGGCGACTTTTTGAAATCTCGCCGAACTAGGTTTCCGGAAGATATTTTGGGGAGATTATTTTGAACGTCCGATCACATCACTAAAATTCTTCAACCTGATTGGTTATTCGATATGTATACCTACGCGAAAGGAGGATTTCGTTAGAAAAGAGGTAAATGAGTTTATTTTTTTCGCTATTTATGCTTCTGATCTCTTGCTGTTAGAATCATCGTTATCATTTCATTTTTTTTTGCCGTTACTTCATTTATTACTGTCAATACTTCACTTTTTAACTTTTTTTTTGTGCGGTACCAGTTGAAAATAATTTATATTGTTTTTTGTTTTTTTCAATAATCAAAAGGCAGCGTTGATCCCACTAATAATCGCCAACTTGGCGAGATTTCAAAAAGTCACAAGTTTCAAAAATTATTTTGAAGGTAAAAAATTAAACATTTTTAAACTTCTTAGTTCACTCTTGGCTTATCTCAATTCAAATTTTTCAGTACTTTAAATTACTTATGAAATTGAAAAAGAATTATCCTGAATTGTTTTTCCCGTTTAAAAAAAACGTTTTAAGTTACAATTTTATTAAATATCTTTTTTCAGGTGATGTGACAGTGGCCGCACGATCCGATCTCCGTTTAGAACGGTCACTTGTGAACATGACCAAGCAGAGCGGGGAGAAAGTGAACATGCGCTGCGATGTGAAAGGACAAGGCCCTGTATACTTCAGATGGTACAAGAACGAAGCCCCAGTTGAAGAAGAAAAAGGTCGCGTAGAAATAAAGAAATATAATCCTGGCAACGGTCGTGTGGGTTCGAGATTAAGAATTTGGAATCTCGATATTCACGACACGGGATATTATAAATGTGAAGCCCATGCTGGTGCAGAGGCTTCTGTTATGGGAGATTCTGATGGACCAAGTCATCTGCCTAGGGTGGAATCTACGGGGATTCTGAAAGTTGTTGCAGGTACTTGCTTTAACCAGTTCTTAAGATATGTAGTAATATTTTCATAAATTTTGTCGTAGGTCGTTTGGAAAATTGACTTTGACATTAGTTGAAGTAAAAGACACAAACTGGATCACTTAATGCATGATTTTAATCAAATCATATAACTTTCTGGAAACTGAACTAAGCTCAGAGTTCTAAATCGTATTGTAAAGTGTGGTTGTGAACTGAGCTAATATCAGTAACCAGATTTTACCTTCTGTGGGGGAGAAGTATTTATTTTTCTAGAAAATGACACTTTGACCATTTTTAAATAAAGTTACGCCTGAGCTTCGAAGTGTAAAGCGCCATTTTTAGGGATGATATTTTCAGAAATACTGCTGTCCAAAAATATAGGTTTCCTATTTCAAATTTGGAACTTTAATTTCGAATTTAATTAATTTCCTTGTTACGTTAAGACTTATTGGCATTTTCATCTAAAAATTTTGATTTACTGGTATTTTAAGACAAAATCATACGTGCTTCAATTCCAAAGTATTTGCCAATATTTAAAAACTCGACTCTTGTGGAAAATAATTATAAGCAAAAAACATAAATTTTGTGATGCGAATGTGTAAAATTAAAATCTTTAGAGCACTTTCAACCTTTAGAATTTGGTCTTATAATTATCTAAAGTACGAAATTTCGATTACCAATTCCAAACAAAAATACGCATAAGCTCTCAAGTACCCAGCACCATTTTTAAAAAAATGATTCTTGCAAAAATATTAATCCCCCAAATATATAAGTTCACAGTGCAAAAGTATGAAATGAAAAGTCTAAGGTGAAAAGTTTGCCTTCTATTACCTTAAACTCCAATCCTGTGTAAAATTTTAAATTCCATACAGGAGATTTTGTCAGCCAATTACAGCTGCACTCCAAAGTGTTTGGCAAATACGACCCCGTTTGCATTTAAAGTTTCTTCCGGGAAATTTTCATGCAAATTAAACTTAGTATTTGATGATATAAGAACTTTATTTGCTTAAAAAAGTGTGAAGATGTTAATAAAAGTTTACATGATTCGAGAACTCAAAAATAGGAGCCCATTTTCAAGACAACTATATAGACATAAATGAGGAAGACAAAATTGATTTGAAGCATAAAAAGTAAAATTACCAATGAAGACGCAGAAAATGCGCAGTACCCGAATATGAAACAGAATAATATAACGATGAAAAAACAAAGCAAGAAAGACCGCAGCTGCCGAGAAAGGCAAGTAGGGCGAAATTCGTTTCCATGAGCCATGGAGAGCTGATGAAGAACTCGTGTCGTTAACAAGAGAATCGGTATTCATATGAATGAAACAATATTCCAGGACATCAAGATGGACTGATATGACAGGGTCGGACGNCTCGACTCTTGTGGAAAATAATTATAAGCAAAAAACATAAATTTTGTGATGCGAATGTGTAAAATTAAAATCTTTAGAGCACTTTCAACCTTTAGAATTTGGTCTTATAATTATCTAAAGTACGAAATTTCGATTACCAATTCCAAACAAAAATACGCATAAGCTCTCAAGTACCCAGCACCATTTTTAAAAAAATGATTCTTGCAAAAATATTAATCCCCCAAATATATAAGTTCACAGTGCAAAAGTATGAAATGAAAAGTCTAAGGTGAAAAGTCTTCCTTCGATTACCTTTAAATTCAAACCTATGTAAAATTTTAAATAACACGAGATTTCTTCAGCCAATTGCAACTAAACTCCAAAGTGTCTGGCAAATACGGCCCCGTTAACATCTAAAATTTCTTCCGGGAAACTTTCATGCAAACTAAGCCTTATACTTGATGATCTAAGAACTTCATTTGATTAAAAAAATATAAAGATATTAATAAATGTTTACATGATTCGAGAACTCAAAAATAGGCACCCATTCTCAAGACGACTCGATAGACATAAATGAGGAAACCAAAATTGATTTGAAGCATAAAAAGTAAAATTGCTAACGAAGACGCAGAAAATGCGCAGTATCCGAATATGAGACAGAAAATAACGGTGAAAAAACAAAGCAAAAAAAACCGAGGAGCCAAGAGAGGCAATTAGGGCGAAATTCGTTTCCATGAGCTATGGAGAGCTGATGAAGAACTCGTGTCGATGACAAGGGAATCGGTAATCATATAAATGAAACAATATTCCACGGCATCAAGATGGAATGATATGACAGGGTTGGAAAGAATATTTGCATTAACGAAATCGAATTTATGCATGAGATTCCAACAACGTACGACAATTGATGATTTATCGCATTCTTCTTAATGAACATTTCTATCTTGTTTCTAAAATAAAAAATTTTAAGTGTCCGATGTAGCCGAGGTATTTTTAGAAGCAAATGAAGTTTTATATCATCATATATGCTTCAGTTTCTTGGGATTATTCATTCAATAAACCTAATACTATTTTTAACGTTTCTATTTATTTCTTTATCTTATAAAAAGGATATGTATATCCAATATAGATGATCCATAACATTTTATAACCGTGCTGGTAATTTTTACAATGCATCCTCCCAATTTATAACTCTTATCTAGGGGCCATTAAACAATGTTGCAAGGCGAGTCCTTAAATTTTATGGATACGACCAATGCAATTATGTTAGCCTGTCTATCCATCCACATTGTATATCTTCTATTATGATGAGGCAACCTTGATTAACAGCATTGTTGGACCCGGAGTTTGGGATCCATGCAGTGAATAAATTCATTAATCTTTGCAGTGGATAATCTAAGAAATTATTAGGTGTAGTAAATCTTCGTTAAATCTATTAGATCTTGTCCTATTTTGCATCGTGCTCATGAACGTGAATAGTTCTACGAGATAGATCTTAATAGAATAACTGTACATGGAATGACTTTTTTTTTGTTTGTTTTTTGGAAGAAGACTTAGATCTTCTATATCAGCTTTCTCTCGAATAACTGTGGGATATATATATTAAAACATTTTGTCGAAAAGTTATTTGGGTCTTATTTTCTGTTAAGCCTACTTGATCTTGTTCCATTGGATGTTTTTTTTTNTTTTCATTAATTTTGATCAGAAAAATATTGCATTTTTTTTGTAATTGGCAGATTCTAAAGGGAAAAAAATCTTTCCTTGGAAGAATAAAATAGAAAAAGTGCATATTCGTTTCAAACAAAAGAAACGACCGCAGCAGGGAAAACAAAATTCGTCTTGGGGAGGTGGGCAGAGTTAATAAGACATATTACACTTGCAAGGTCATTTTCCGGGGGTTTGTCACGCGGGCTATGAGTCAAACAGGAAATTTCTTTCTAATCTTTGATAGTCGTTTATAACTAGTAATTTTTAATAATACATATGTACAAAAAAACAATTTTTTTTGAACCCCGATTTTACGAATGACCCCGATTTAACGAATAAAATTTCCGGTCCCGATGAATTCGTTAAATCGGGGTCCGACTGTATATATATATATATAGGTATGCATTCTCCTCAGAAGTTAATAATGTTGTAGGTATTATCCAAAATTGAAATGAACTTATTATTTAGTAGATTATTGATTTACTTAAGAGATGGATAGGTAAATGAGTAGTTTTATTTACAATAATAACGCTAATTAAATGGTTGGAGACCATTGGTTGTTTATGCAGTAATTTAAAGTAGTTAAATGATAGTAGTTGTAGCATATTTTAATAATAGAAAAAGAAAGGTTAATTAAGCTCTTGTAGCGAACTATTTTTGTTCTATAACAATAGTAGTAGAAGTAGTTTGTTTACACCTGGTGGCTGAGTGGTAGCGCTTCCACGCTCCCATGCCACAGGTCCTGGTTTCGATCCTCGGGCCGGGCAAGGTTGACTTAGCTTTTCATCTCTTCAGTGGGTCGATAAATGAGTACCAAGTATGCTTGAGAATTAAACACTGGGGGTTCCGTGTTCAGCTGACCACCTAACCGAAACATCTGCTCTTGCACTCCAGAGCCCAAGATCAAGAAAACTGAAATGGGCACAGTAGGCCTTGGCCCTCTATTAGCTGTCGCGCCACTGAGTTTAGTAGTTCGTTAATTTTAGCTAGTAGTTAGGTTGATTAAACAGTTGTAGCGAACTATTTTCGTCTCTAGTAGTTTATTAAAATGGCAGTAGTAGTTAAGTTGATTAAGTAGTAGTCTATTAATAGTAATAGCGATAGTAGTTAGATTGATTAAGTAGTTGCAGCGTGCTGCTTTTGTTGTGTAAAAATAGGAATAGTTTATCAATAATAAGTATTAAATAGGTTTATTAAACAGTAGTAGCGAACTGTCTTCGTTCTATAAAAGTAATAGTACTTAATTAATAATGCTAGCAGTAGTAGTTAAATGTATTCAGCAGTAGTAGCGAGCTGTTTTCAGTCAATAATAGTAGTAGTAGTTAATTAAAAGTAGTTGCAGTACTAGTTTAGTTAATTAAGTAAAACTAGTTTGTTAATAGTAGAAGCAGTAGTAGTTAGGTTGATTAAGCAGTAATGGCGAGTTGTTTTCATTCTATGCTTCATAAAACATTCCTTGAATGTAAAATGAAATGTGTTCACATTAAAATCGGTAAAGTTTTTTTTTCTTTGCAGTTGTAGATTAGTTTTAAATTTTCCTATTTCCTTGATTAGTTTTTTGACTGTCATTTTTTTTTCGCTCTTGCTTACATTCATAGTAATCCTCTCCTTTTTTTTCACTCAAAAAGAAGTTGAGCACGTGACACGTGATTTATTTTTATATTCATTTTCGTGACTTAACATGCAATGACGTCTGAAGACGTTTCGGAAGAATTTTTAATGAAGCAACGTGAGCCAGTTCTTCTCCTAAATAATCATTCAAATATCTTCAGAAACCATTTCTCTCATTAAACATTAATATTTTTCTCTCTTTTTAAAAAAATCGCAGATGAGAAATACTTTATTAATAAAGATTTGAAAGATATCTTGTCTTAAAAAACATTTTTCCAGCATTAATAAATTATCAGCTTTAAAGTATTACTGAGAGCTTAGAAATTTAAAACTTTTTAATGCTTTCGAAATAAGTTTATTAATTTACATTCTTAGTCCCTTAAGCCCCGAACACTACTGTGAAATCCAATTCTAATCTCTATTTGCGATCTGAAAAGGAATTCTTTTTTTAAAAAATTTTCCTCTTCTCTGTTATGAGTTTATTTCCATGCAAATGAATTGTTGCCAGATTCGAAATTCCATTTAATTTTATTCAAATTGAAAAGATATAACTTAGTCCTTAAAATATCGTTTGCCTATAGTTTTTCTGGAATTTTTTTGCGACAAAAACATAAAGTCATCGTGGATTATGTAAATAAGTTGCATTTTCTATGAAAATTGCATTTCGGAATTCGGTTCGGCGTCAAGTTTTAATGAGAAATAAAAGAAAATACCATCACGATCGAAGAAAAAAAAATCTTATCAAAACACGAATGATCTGAATGTGATTGAAATAAGAGATTCTTTGTTCATTATCGTCTGTGTTTTTGATATTCTCTTTTTCAGTTTATTTATTTATTTTCTTTTTTTAGGTCGAATTCAACCTCCAGCAACGATTCCAAATTTCCCGCCAGTTTTTCCACATTTCCCTGCTCTTGGTGGAACGTAAGTTCATTTCTTATTTTTTTTTATTTGCTGATTTAAAATTATTTTTGACATTCTGCCTGCAATAAACTTAATAAATAAAAGCCCACCTTTGAAATTGAAAGTTAAAAAGAAGGTTTGTACGCAACATCTACAGATAGTTTCAAAAAGAAATCCATTGTAAAAAATCTGTGCATAATTTTCATTTTATTGATGTTCATTTCATTGATTCTCATTTCATTGATGTTCCTTTCATTGATTTTCATTACATTGATGCTTATTGCCATATCGAGATTCAGATAGTTAAAAAACAAAATCCATTGTAAGAGTTGCATGCATAATTTTCATTTTATTAATGCTCATTTCATTGATGATCATTTCATTGATGTTCCTTTCATTGATTTTCATTACATTGATGCTTATTGCCATACCGAGATATGGATAGTTACAAAACGAAATCCATTGTAAGAGTTCCATGCATAATTTTCATTTCATTGGTTATCATTTCATTGATGCATATATTGCTGCTGCGAAATAAGTAGCTATATACTTCCAGCAACAGCAATATGAATACAGACTGCGTCTAAGAAGTCTAATGAGTATACCACTGCACATAAAGTGCCTAATGGAAGTACTACTGCGCATGAAAAGCCTAACATTTGTACAACCGCGCATACAGAATTTATTGAATATACTTAAAATGCTGTTTTCGAAGGCTACGTCGTAAATATGAAATGATGCTTTATTGCGAAATACTATTTTCATAACCACTGACAGCAGAAGTATCTCAAGTTATGAGCTTTAAAAAGCTTTAAAACTAAGTTAACTTAATTTTGAGACTTAAAAATTATTTACCAACTGAAAAACTTTTTAAAAAATTAATAAACTTTTTTATGAACTACGTATTTGGCAGGATGTTTCCGCTGATGAGTCAGTGAAATCAAAAAAATGAGATGAAAGTCATTGAAATCAATTTAAATTTTTAATTGACTTTCTAAAAAATTATAAAACTTTTTTTATGAACTACGAATTTAGCGAGATGTTTCCGCTGATGAGTCAGTAGAATCAATAAAATGAGATGAAATTCATTAAAATCAATTTAAATTTTCAATTGGCTTTTTAAAAAATTATAAAACTTTTTTTATGAACTACGAATTTGGCAAGATGTTTCCGCTGATGCGTCAGCAAAATCAATTTAAATTTCCAATTGGCTTTTTAAAAAATTATAAAACTTTTTTATGAACTACCAATTTTACAAGATGTTTCCGCTGATGCGTCAGCAAAATCAATTAAATGAGATGAAAGTCATTAAAATCAATTTAAATTTTCAATTGGCTTTTTAAAAAATTATAAAACTTTTTTACGAAATTCGGCAAGATGTTTCCGTTGATGAGTAAATCAATCATCCTCAGTAAAATTAATTAAATTAGGCGAAAGTCATTAAAATTAATTTAAGTTTTCAATTTTTTCAAATTTATATGGTAAAGTGTGACACTTTGACAAAAGAGAGGAGGGGTCAAAAATGTTGGCGAAAAAAGTGTGACCCTTCTAGAGCAAAAAGAGTCCCAAAATAGAAAAATCCGGGATTCACTAGTCGCATTCTTTTAAAACTCATATTATCATGTATTTCTCTCTGATACATGCCTGTAAAAAAAATCTCCGCCGAAACCTCTTCCCAAAAGATTAATCGGTACTACTATTTCAACAACAAATTAACTTGCAGCTCACATGGTACTGCATAAAAAGAAGGTCTTTCCGGAAACTGTTTAATAATGCAAGAGTGTAGCGTTGAGTAGCGGTGATGTAGCGATGAGTTACATTTACTTGTCGTGAAAAAGTTTCTTCCTGAATTAAAAATATCCGGCGCAAAATCAATAATCTTGTATCCACATTGCCTAGAACCAAGTATATTTTGAAAAAATAAATAAATGAAACGCTGAACTAAAAATATTTTATGTAAAATCAATATTCTGCAATTCAAAGTAGAATATAACATGAATGTTTTTACCAAATACATTTAAAAAGAAAACGTCTTGTTAAGAATGTCCGATGTAAAATCAGTACTCTGTGATCCGTTGTAGAGCATGATATGAAACTGAATGTATTTTTAAAAAGTTTAATTAAAAATATTCGGTACAAAATCAGTACTCTGTGACCCGTTGTCGAACATTGTATGAAACCGAATGTATTTTTAAAAAGTTTAATTAAAAATGTCCGGTGTAAAATCAGCACTCAGTGATCCGTTGTAGAACATGGTATGAAACCGAATGTATTTTTAAAAGGCTAAATTAAAAATACCCTGTGCGGAATTAAACTTTGTGAACCATTGCAGAACACTGTATGAAACCGAATGTATTTAAAAAACGCTGGGTTATAATATCCAGTATGAAATCATACTCTGTGATCTGTTATAGAACATGGTATAAAACCCAAATGTATTTTAATGAAGCTGAAATATCCAGGGCGAAATTAACACTTTGTGATCCATAGTGGAACCTTGTAGGAAACTGAATGTATTTAAAAGAACGTTAGATTAAATATATCAGGAGTGAAATCAATACTTAGCAATCTGATGATGTTGAACATAGCATATACGTTGAAACCTAATGTATTAACAAAAAAGAAAAGAAGAGAAACGATGGGTTAAAAAAATTTTATGCAAAATCAATAATCTGTGATCCGTTGTATAACATTGTAAGAAACCGAATGTATTTTTAATATCACTTACGAACTTAATACTTTGTGCTCACTTGTAAAACATAGAGCGTTATAATAAAAATTTGAAAGAAAGAAAAAAACGCTGAATTAAAAATATTTTGTTCGAAATCAATATTCTGTAATCCGCTGTTGAGTATTGTAGAAAACCGAATGTATTAAAAAAACGCTTTGTTAAAAAATATCTGGAGCGAAATCCTTGCTCTGTGATCCGTTAAAGAACATTGTATGAAACCGAATACATTTTTTAAAAATTAAATTGAAAATTTCCTGTGGAAATTGATGCTTTGTGATACGTTGTAGAACACTGTATAAAACTGAATGCAATTAAAAAAAATTAACAAATAAACATTGAATTAAAAATATCCTGTGCAAAACCAATATTCTGTAATCCGTTGTTCAACCTTTGTCTTAAAATCCAAGATAATCGGTTTTAATTTTTAAGGGGTGGGTTTTTGGAGAACAGTATTAAAAAAAAATTTTTTTTTTTTTAAAAAAATCGTGAGAGTGTAGACATAATGGATTGGAAATGGAGAAAGTTAAGTTAGGTAAATAAGTCGAAAATTGAGAGGAAATTGAAGAAGTGAAGTTGGGAAAATGTTGAGGTCGAAAAGTTGATAAAAGTGATGTGCATGTTTTTTTTAAAAAGGAATCAAGTCAATAAAAGGAATTCAGTCACGAAATCTTTGAGTACATTTTTTTAAATATTATTATTTTAAATCTTATTTAGGTTATTTTAAATTAAATCATCGAAACGAGTCATTTTAAATCTTCAAACGTTCTATTTGAAGAATAATTGTTTATTTAATTTCTTATACCACTTAAAGGTTAACTGTTGTTTGCTTGTTATTTAATCTTCAATGGATGAACGAAATCCAGCAATCCAATTTTAAATTATTACTTCAATTTTTTTCAACATTTCAATTTTATAATCTTCATTTGAAATTATTGCAAACCTGCATTTTGGACTTGAATCCAATTTTCAGCAGACAAATTTATGTACATTCCAATTTATTATTTATTTATTTTTCTTAAGTATTTTTACTTAGTTCCTTTAGTTTAATCATCGCCATTCTATACCAATATTTGCTTTTCATTTCCTCGATTATTTAAATTATCTACACAAATTTTTTTCAGCGAGAATATTCTGATGGATAATAGTGTGGTATGATAACATGATAAAAAGGATTTATATAAATAAAGAACATAAATCAAATTATTCGACAGCAAAATAGTTTATTTGATCAACAAATGGAAATTTAAGAATGCGCCTTTTTATCGAATCGCAAATAAACACCAACAAGGAAATGCAATTATCCGCGCACTTATTTAAAATTGCATACCGAATGCTATCAAAACCCCTAAATTAGTAAAATATTTCAATAAATAATAAAGCCGCTTCATTATATTTCGCAAAAAGAAATAGTTCCATAAATTTCCTATGATGCATCTTCAATTTATTAATGGCATTTTTATGTTGGCTTAGTAAATTTAGAAAAATCGTTATTTCTCACGGAATCATAATTTTTTTATCGAAGAAAAAAAAAACGCCAAAACCATCGCCATTTTATTTCTAGGTTTTTGAAATTTGCGATATCATTTTTTATGAATAATTAGCCATAAATAATGAATGCAATAAGGCTGAAAAGAATTTTTTAGACAAATTATGCATGGAACTTCTCTGGCGCGATTTAAAAGCAGGAACTGACAATTTTATTTGTTGAGCAATAAAAATTCGGGTGTCTTGTGTTGCTGCAAAAATGGCTTTCGCCAAAACCAAACAATAATTTGTGTCCCATCTAATGAATTATTCATGCAAGAAACGTTCAATTTTATGTGTAAAAAATTATTCTTTTTTTTTCTTTATGTTGGCGTAGAAAATGGGTATCATAGTAAAAATAAATTAATTTACTTCTGTTCCATTTTCTTCTTTATTTCTCATTGAAAATAAAAATCTTGTTGACTCATTATCTTTGATCGCCGATTTTGTTTGCTATAAATGCAAACGATATTTCAGGAAGAATTTCTATCAAATTGTTCCTGAGGGAATATTATATTGCGCTTAAAATCACCCTTTAAATTGATTTGAAAGGGATTGTTCACAAATTGATTAGTTTTATCTCAATATCGATCCTTCCCTGTTAGCTTTTAATAAATATTATAAATATCATTAAGAAATGTATCTTCAAAAACTCAATTTGAGTTGAACTAAATATTATATTTTTAATATGTGTTTATAAATAAAATACAAGTATGCATTGCTTAATATTAATAAAATAGATGTATACTTAGTATGAATAAAATAC